CTAACAATAGTTTCTACAGCCTTTGCTAACAAATAGACGCATATATTTAAACATCCGTTTAAATCCATTCTGGGGCGCAAATCAATCATCGTCATTACTTACCTACTTGTATCAATAAACATTCTGCATAAAATGGATATTTATAAGCACTAATATCTACATAAATTGGTTATTTGATCATTTTTTATTAAAATGTTTAATTTATCTTTGATTTCAGTGAAGACTCCTAGACTCTGAAAAGAGCATGAATTCTGCACTCATCATCTTTGATGTTAGTAATATTGATGTGTATAATTAACCACAAAAACATTTTGTTTTGAATATTCCACTTGAGAGTATTGCTGTTTCCACCACCTGTATTAGAGGGGAACAAAATGAATCCCCCAGGCTGCGTTTCTCCATCATCCTGATCTGATAGTCACCTTTTCTTCACCCTTGTTTAAACACATAACCGGTTTGTTTCACCTCAAGGGTGAATAATGGGTAAGGAAATGATGAATCACTAATTACTCCAATTAAACTGAAAATAAAAGCAGCATAACTTTAAATGTTTACTCTGACTAAAGTGTTTTTATCGGAGTTGAATAACTACATATTTTCTTCTTTCTATATAAATAATTTTCCTTAGATTATTTACCATCTAGCTCCGCCCCTGCTGCCATTTGCAGTTGTTAGAAGTGCATACTGATGTGGGTCAAACAGTTGACCACATTTCCTCTTTACTGGACATCCAGACATGTGGGTCCAATTGCAAACACACCCAGTTTCAGTTCTGTTAACACGTTTCCCAGCAGGGAGATCAGGGCTGTTTCCACGGCAGCAAGTATCCAGAAAAAAAAAAGAGTCGGCATCAGGAGGGCAGTAAGGTTGCGCTTTATGTTGCAAGATAAAGGAACTTCATTAGGAGAACCAGGAAGAACAAGGGCAATTAATCCATTTTCTTTAGAAAGATCATTAAAGTTCCTCTCTGCCTCTAGTCGTTCCCCCGGCAACAAACAGAAACAAGTTTTCCAAAACTTAGAAACACTACTGCCTCTCCAACTCCAGAGCACTTTTAAATCAAGGTCCCAACAGGCTCATGCTGCTAAACGGCCAAGTGGCAAAGGAAGCGGTTCTTGTTTGTTCTTGGCTGCAGGAACCAACTGCAAGAGAAAAGAAGAAAAAAAAGCTCAGGGAGGAGCTTACAGTGACTCACATTCAAGTTTTATGATGAGTTATGAAATGAGATTGCAGCTTTCAATTAGTTACATACTTTATTTATCAGAACAACATTCAACTTTATTGGAAGGTCTGTATGCACAGAGCACTTGATTGTGGTGTTCCATCACTTCATAGTGGAAAAACTCGAATGAAAATAAACAGGATGAGAACAGAAAACAGGAATAAACTAATGAAGGTGAGAAGTAATAGTGCTGATGGCAGCTGCTGATTCAGCAGGACATGTTTGATGAGCTTCACAGAAGAACGCATCCCAGTCCTCCCACTTCCACCCTTATGTCCTTCCATTGTGTGTTAATGGCATCCAGAGCATAATGTGTTTCAATTCCCCAGAGTGGGAATTGCCCCTCCCTTACTTAGCTAAGAACCAAGAAATATGTATAAACAGATCTCTAAAAATGTGGTTTACCCGTAATTGTTTACATGAGAATTTGCAATAAAAAGCCAAACTTCAATTAAGATTTCTACAGTCTTTGAAAGCTTAAGCAGATGTTGATTTTTGTTTTTAGATGTTGATTTTCAGAAAATTCAACCTACATAAAGAAACATAACCTTAAATTTACTGAATCACAATATAATAAAATATGGCAAGTCATACCTCCCTTTTAATTTACTTAATCAAGAAATTATTATGTATATTTGTTATATTTAAATTCATAACATTTTCCAATCCTGAATAGAAATAATTAGAATATATATACAAATACATACATACACACATACGTAAATATATATATATACATACAGTCATATGAAAAAGTTTGGGCACCCCTATTAATCTTAATTATTTTTATTGCTAAATATTTGGGTGTTAGCAATTGCTATTTTAGTTTTATATCTAATACTGTATATAACTGTAATATGACACAGTAATATTTCAGTATTGCAATATGTGTTAAAACAAAACTTGAAAGGTGCAAAGTTTTGGATACCCTAATAATTTTATTGATTTAAATACCCTTAACTACTTTTCACTGACTAACTGAAACACAAAATTGGTTTGGTTACTTCATTTAGATTTGAACTTCATAGCCAGGTGTTTCCAATCATGACAAACTGTATTTAAGGTGGCCAGTAGCAAGTTGTTCTCATGTTTGAATCTCCTCTGAAGATTCATCATGGGCACCTCAAAACAACCCTGAGAGGATCTGAAAACAAAGATTGTTCAGGGGAAGGATACAAAAAGTTGTCTCAAGGATTTAAACGGTTGGGGCTTGCAGGTAGCACTGTGGTTAGCACGCACAATCCATGTACGGAGTCCTTAGTCCTCAATGCGGCCGACCCGGGTTTGAATCCGACTTGTGGTCCTTTGCTGCATGTCTCTCCCGCTCTCTCATACCACCTTTCCTGTCAGCCAATAGTGCTGCAAAAACTCAAAAAAAACAAAAGAGATTTAAACTGTCATTTCCCACTGTGAGGAACATACCGTAGTAAGGAAATGGAAGATCACAGGGACAGTTCTTGTTAAGCCCAGAAGCGGCAGGCAAGGAAAAATATCAGAGAGGCAGAGAAGAAGGAGGGTGAGAATAGTCAAGAAAAACCCACAGACCACCTTCAAAGACCTGCAGCATCATCTTGCTGCAGGTGGTGTCTCTGTGCATCGTTCAACAATTCAGTGCACTTTGCACCACTAGAAGCTGTATGGAAGAGTGATGCGACAGAAGCCTTTTCTGCAAGCACGGCACAAACAGAACCGCGTGAGGTATGCAAAAGCATATTTGGACAAGTCAGCTTCATTTTGGAATAAGGTCATGTGGACTAATGAAACAAAGATTTAGTTGTTTGGACATAAAAAAGGCCTTATGCATGGCGGGGAAAAAACACAACGTTGCTACCCACTGTAACATTTGGTGGGTTTGCATTGCTTTGGGGCTGCATTGGCAATGCTGTCACTGGGAATCTTGTTAAAGTTTAGGGTTGCATGGATTCTTCTCAATATCAGCAGATTCTTGACAATAATGTTAAAGAATCAGTTACTAAGATGAAGTTACCCAGGGGATGGATATTTCAGCAAGAAAATGATCCATATCCCCGCTCCAAATCTAGGCATTCGTGCGGAAAAGTTGCAATGA